AAAATGTTCTGAAGTGCATTTGAAAATGCCTGTAGAAAACTCATTCCCATGAGATGCATTTATGTGACAGGGAAGAGAAAAACAGCTGTGATATAATCCTCCAACTGGTATTAGATCTGGGGGTTTTTGTGCTGCTACTTTCAAGACGTCCTAAACCTTCTTATTTGCTATGTAAATACAACTTGCACCATCTTTCAGTAGAAGTGATAAAAGGGGATGCTGTAAGCAAAGGATGTGGTTGCCAAATATGAAAAGGGCAAATCTAGCAGAGAGGGAGGGAGGGACCTTCAGGTTTTGTGTTTCTCGCAGCCTTTCAGAAAGCAACAATGCTCCGTTTGTCTTAGTACTGCAGTGCTGTGCCTAAATAGCATGAACGCAGCCCAGACGTTCTCGAGAGGGCACTTGGATTGCTGTATCCTCCTGAAGATGTTGAACCCCTCAGATGAGTTGTACCTCAGTTACTCAAGCATTGCACCAGCTGCAGGGTGCAGGCGTGGGCTCTTGGCTGCCAGCGCCCCGGCACATCTGCTTGAGCGTCAGGCTCAGGAACGCAAAACTCGCTGGAGAGTGAAGTCATCACGGTTTGCTTGGACCTTGAGCACAAAACTTGGAGTGTGGCCTCTCCTTCCAGTTACATGAGCAAACTCTAGCTCGTAACACATAGCCATCAGGCTAAACCTTTGGATCACAACCCCTGGGGGAGAGCTTGACAGATGTCTTCTGTCATCTGTTACCTAGCACAAGCCAGTGAACCTCACACAGGAAATCTTGTCTGCACTTTCTGCTTGAGGGGCATCCAGTTATCTTCATTCATGGGACAGAAATTGCATGACAGCTCTTAAAAATTATTTTCAGTTATTGAATATACTGGGTCATAGGCTGGTTACTTAGATGCCAAAAGAAAAAAAAATGAGAGAAAAAGTAGCTTGGTAGTGATCGCAAATAACCTTGCTTGCAATGAAAGCCACTATTGTGATAGGAAAACACTAGTCAGAGTCATCTGGAAAAGCAGTTTCCCATGTCTGGGAGCACCAGGAAGAGGTGAGCAGAGCAGAAGGTGAGATAACATGGGTGCTGAACTTTCCCAGAGGCAGATCTGCAGCGCTGGTCTTGGGCCAGTTGTGCACTTGTCATGTTAGGCCAGGAAAGGGGAAAAGAAGGAAATGGGAAAAAAAAAAAAAAAAAAAAAAGAAAAAAAGAAAAAAAAGACAGTCCCTTATTTATTTAATATTTTTCTCTATGAGCAAATCCCTGCCATCATTTTCCTTCCACCAAGCAAAATTCCTCCTCCAGAGGCCTGAGCTCTGTGTAAAGGTTGAGAAATAAAAGAAAGAAGGGGAAAAAAAATAGTAATTTCTTTTTCTTGCTAGTCAATGTGCTGGTAGTAGAGAGAGGCTCCTCTGGGAGTTGCAATTACTCCCCTGTGGATGCTGGAAATGTTTTGGTGGTTTTTTATAGCTGCAGCTCTAGTCTGAACGATGACAAAACTTAGTCTTCTGCTATTAGTGCCAGCTTTCCAGATAAAGCAGGGAAGAAAAAAGTGAAGTATCACTTTGGGGTGTTTCTGGGGAAGAGATGTGTCCACTTGCTTTCTTGGGACCACTGTGAAAACACCTGTCTCAGTGCTGTGCTTTGTGGAATTGAAGTCTGCAAGTTCTTGGGTTTGAAGACTAGGAGTAAAAACTGAGTCTTACTCAAAAGCTGTCTTTAAACTCTTGGTATGGCAACACATATTAAAAATAAGTAGTAAAAGTAAACTAATCAAGATTATACATTTATAGTTGTACTAGTGTTGATGGATTTTAAAGGTTAGGACTTGTCTATGAACAAAGATTGTATTATGATGTATTATCTGAAGAATCCTTCTACTAAGGTGATGCTGCAATGCTGCTTTTCCCCAATTTAAAAATTCACAGTTTATTGACAGCCTGAGTTAATCTGGAGGTTTGATCTCTGTTCTGTGCTGTAGGATTTAGGTAATTTTGCCCAGGTTGCAGTCTGTTCGTGGTTTTGCTTGGATTTGAGAATCATTTATATGTAAATGCTCCTGATCTCTTGTTCTTTTCCTTCCTACCAATTAACTTTGTTTTAAAGCATACAATTGTGTGAGCAAAATCAGCAAGCAGTGCTGCCTGGGGCCAGTAAAACTGGGTGATGTTAGCATGGTGATCATGTTCGCTGGAGCTCATTAGCAAATTGACTCATTGAATGATCAGACCTTTGAACTGAGTTCAGTGATATCCCATCCATCTCACTCTGTTAGGCCACTTCAAGGCAGCTCTGTCTTCTTATAATTAGTCTGATGTAAATGGTGGAGGTGTTTATTTTTAAAAGCAGCAAGAAAGCCCAGTTGAACAAGAAAAAAATTGGAAGAACAAGCCCTCAAAGAGATTTCGACACTAGTGCCAAGTGGTTTATGGAAGATAAAACAACTCATTTTTTTGTGGCTAAAGGAAAATTCCATTAAATCCCTTGTGCCTAGCTGCTACAGCAAACTTGCCAGAGCTATTCCAAAACCAACACACCACGAGATACTCGATGATTGTCAGTGAAAATTAGGCTCAAAAATGGAGCACCCCTGCGTGTAGATCAAGGGGATCTCCTGAGTGCTCAGTATATGTTTCTATAAACTCACAAATGACTGTAAGAATTACTTTAAGGGGGGGGTTGCTAGTTTTGGCTTTGAAACTGCATCTGCTGTATCTACTCGGTACCTCTGTGACTGTAGTGCATGGTGTAGGTCATTTTGCAAATGGAAAATAACTTGTTATTGCATGAGTAAATGGGAAAATTTCTGCAGGTTGTTATCTGCTGCGCTAATTGTTACTGTGAAGAAATAAAAAATGTACTAACGGCAAGAGCTGCTGCAGTAAAAACAGATAATATTTGGCAAAGGTCTCTGCAAATTTTAATCCTCCCTGTAATGTCAGATGGAAGTCGTTGCTTGGTGATCTAGCACAGCTTTGTGCAGAAACTAGAAGAAATCTGTCGATATCTGCAAGATTTTGCATTGTATTTTTTGGAGTTCATGCAATCTGAGGGCTCATAGTGGAAGGGAGGTGTCACGAGAAGGCTGGAAAATCTGAGCAATGAGCTCAGGAGATCTGATTTCAGGTGAGTGTCCTGGTGCTCAGGTGGTTTAGTGCCTGTTGTGCTATTGCTCGCCTTTTTGGAGGCTGGGGGAGAAGATAATCCTGTTTCCTGAGGGATGGCAGAGCTGTGATTTTTAAACTGAACATTTTCTTGAAAAGTAGTGATCCCTCAGAAAATTATGTTTATGATGCTGCTGAGTTTTAAAGTTCGAGGAGAAAGTGTCTCAGGCTTGGAGTAAGATTACCTAAATCCAGAGCAAGCATGTGCTTCAGCTGCCATGCTATTGATTGCTGGGGCAGAAGAGTTGCTCACAGCACCATGGGCTTAGATTACTTAAATAACAAAAAAAAACCCTTTCAAAATGGAAAAACTCCTATTTTACACTAAATGCATGCATCTCTATGCTTGAAATAGGTTGACTTGAATGAACTCCAGTGACAGCAATATCATTACACATAAATAACTAATATTGCACGAATAGCGAGCGTGATCTGCTTCACTGGACCTAGAAGAGAGGACAGTCTCCACTCTCATGAGCTTGCAGGCTAAGCTTGATCACACAACTGGATAGTTAAGAGGCTGCTCCTCAGGGTGACAGGGTGATTCTTGTATTTAATTTTAATTTCGGGCTAGTTCACACATGGGTGTCTTAAATATAGAAACACCGATTTGTGTTGCTGTACATGGAGCAACTGTGACTCTGAAGGATTTTTGGATGCTGGAAGAGGTGGGATGGTAGGGAGATGTTGTGGCATGGGAATTAAAGAGAGAACGGTATCAGGCAAGGATCAGAGAAGCCTATTCATATGGCCTACTGATGTGCTTTTAATGGGCAGCGCCAGTGTTTCCCCAGGCAAGGATTGAGGGGGCAACTGTGGATATCTGGCATTTAACTGGAGTAAAAGTGTTATGTTGAGAGAGGCAGGAGGGTGCTTATCTTTGGGAGGGGCAAAGGAGATGGGAGAAACAGGCTTCTGTTGATGTGATGTCAGCATGGCAGGGGTGATGGAGGAGCAATTGGAGGCAGCCTGCCTTTGTTTCCCTACCTGAGATTTCAGGTCAAGCCATAAAGAAATCCACTTGAAGCTTCAGTCTGCGCAAGCACCTTTGTCTAAATAGGAGGCAAAATAAGGTAATTATAAGGTGGACATCCCTCAGTATTCACCATATGCAGTATTTAGCGCAGCTATTGCAGGATGTAGGATGGGTTAATGCATTTCTAAAGCAGGTTCCCCACCTCTTGCTGCTTGACCGCTCATCGCAGGTTTTAAACAAAGTAGCCTGTTGAGCATTAAACTCTCGAGGATTTGGCTGGGCTGACATGCACCTTTGCATTTGCCACATGGCCTTCAGCTCAAGAGGCCAAGCACTGCTGTAGGGATGAAGCAGCAAGGCATGAACCTGATAGAAAATAAACAGCTTTCTCAGGAGAACAGCCTTGAATTATCCCTCTGTGCACTGCTGTTTTGGGGATGGATTTGTGGTGTGGGGTTCTTTTTATTAGACCATGGAAAATGTTTTTCTGTCCTAACCAGCTGGGTCTTCAACAACACTAAAAAATTAAAAGCACTTCTGTGCTTTGTGTTCCCTAAAAGATGGGAAATAAGATTTTTACATTAAAATGCCAGGAAGAAAAATGGTGAGGGCATAAAGTGCTGCTTTATTTTCATCAGATGCTAGTGCTTTTGGAAAGTCAGTTGCGCTCCAGCGGTCATTACCCCCCTGTGTGCTTCTTTTGCCGTGTGCTCCAGCTTCTCTATAAAAGGTGGCTGTGCAGAAAGCCTTGTGTTAGCTGTAGCTCCAACTACACCCCACAGGCCACCACAGTCGGCAGAGGGGACATCCTCAGGACCTAGGCTTGGGTCTCTTTTTTCCTTCCTCTCATTAATCAGCTGTGTTTGTTTCAGGACTATCGACATCAGGGGCTCTGGGCCCAGGGAGCACTACCACCAGCACCACGCCACGGGTGGCCACCAGTAGCTCCGGCCGCCCCACCACCACCTCGGCCTCAGGCAGGAGGAACAGGAGCACCAGCACACCGTCACCCATGGCCGACATCCCCGACGAAATGACCACACACCTCCCTCCCGCCTCCTCCCAGCTGCCACCAGCTGGCACGGAGAGCTGTGACCCCATGGAAGCCCGCGATATTATGTGGTCTCGGACTCGGCAGGGCCAGGTGGCAAAGCAGCCGTGTCCCGTGGGCTCCATAGGTGAGTCGAGGTGTGGGAGAACACGGCGAGCCATTTGCTCATAGGACATTATGAGCATGCAACCAGGTTGCCCATGGGCCCCTGTGGCACACATACTTTCATCAGCGGAGCATGCTGGTGCCTTCTGTCAGGTCTGCATTGCCTTGAGGTGGCAAGCAGCTGGCCAGGGCTGAAGTCTCAATATGCTGAGCACGTTGTGCATGATCTGTGGCATCCCAAGCTCTGGCCAAAGGAGGGTACAAGCTAACAACCTTGTGGGGTTGAGCTTGTGCTATAAGAGCCTCTGCCTCCAGAAGTTATGTATGATTCACCTGTTATCCCTGGTTTTGCTTGTATTTGTAGCCCCTGGACTCATTGACTTGATGTGTTTATGGCCAATGGTTTGCTTGTTTGTGGTGGGGGTGGGGGGTAAATCAACAAAACTTACATTTTGAAGCTCTGCACTGAAGTGCTGCACTGTTTGCATTTCAAAGGCCGTGGTCAGTGTTTGGGAGCACAGGTATTCCCAGATCGCACTCCTGAACCAGCGTGAGTGATTTTTCAAACTACAGCCAGCATCCAATGTGATCAGCAGGGAAAACAAAGCCAAATATTTCAAAACAATTTATTGCTTATTGGATTTTGCTCCTTTTCTTCTGCTCTTCCCCCTAGTTGTTTTCTTCCAAAAGGTTGCTTTTGGAAATTTTCTGTCCAAATTAAAACACAGTCAAATGAAGAATGGGTTTTGGCATATGGTTCGGTTTGCTGTATTTTAACAAATGCAGTTTTCTAAAAGTGTTTATTTTCAAGCTAGTCTTGGTGTCCAACCCTGAGAACCCACAAAAAATCAGAAGGTGGAGGAAATTGCCTGAAAATAAGGGCTGGAGGGATCTGGCTTGCAGAGGAGGCTCTTGTTAATTCTCCACTCCATTGCCCTGGAGAGCCATTCACACTTGTGCATACGAATACTGACTCTCTCTTGAATTTGGTGTGGTCAGACTGATAAAATATATGTTAAGATATGGGGGGCATGGAAAGACATCAATGGTGAGAATAGGTAAAGAATATTTTTGCTGTCTTTCCCAGCCTCGCTTGGTAAAATTAATACAAAAAGTATCATGTGGTTCCCAGAGAGGGGGCAAGATAGTCTGAATTGAAGCTGTGAAAAGAAAAGAAAAGATAAAAAAGGAAAGGGAAGGTTGGATGCAGAGAGCCCTTTTCTAATCACAAGAGTTAAAGACTGAGTGAAAATAGCTAAGGAAAAAAAACCCCACAACTTGTTGATAGGGGATGACAATAAGCTTTTCCCATCTCTAATTTCAGTGATTCATGCGACTTGTTAAAAGCTGTGGTATATTAGCAGTGGGCCCCTTCCAACTCCATTTGAAGGCATAAGCAAATTCTCACTAGTTTTAAGCTACTAGTTTAAACTGCCATCAGACCTAGCCAGGTCTCTGCTGAAAAGTTTTGCTCTGCAGGGCAGAGCACTTTATAGAATGCAGAATCTTTAATCTACGTGTACCAGCTTTCTTGCTTAAAGATTTTTAACTGCAGCATTTGGGATGCATTTCTCTTTGTCTGGAAGGGTCTGAGGCACTTTGCTGTCTTTTGCAGCAGGGATCTGTGTGGCCATTGCCAAACAAAACTCTCCTCTAAAGTCCCTCTCAACAGTTGGGAGTGGACAGTAAATCCCAGCGTTACATCTTGATGTTCGTAACACTTAAACTCTTGTGTATTTCCACTCAATGGTTTCATGATGATTCAGAACAGTAAAATCTTCCTAAAGCAGCAAGGAAGTCAAGGCACAGGGTCTGATCCCAGGGTGCCAGTGATGGGGCAGAGCAGTCACGGTGCACAACATTTGAGATCCAGCTTCGATATCTTAGTCCCTGCCAGCGTTCCTGCCTGGCCTAAGGCAAAGCCCTCTGTCTGCAGTCTGCATTTGGAGAAATGGAGATAATATCCCTGCGCTACCTCATGGGTCTTTTATGTCTTAGGGCCCCTAATCCTTAAGATGATGGGAGACTAGGACACTGAGATGACTCAGAAGTGTCCTACTGAGGTCCTGAGCACTAGCAAGCTCCCAGGATTTGCATGAGTTGTCCGTCATTGTGAAATGAAGCCTGCGACATGGGGTCCTGGGGGCAAAATGCAACCAATAACACTGAACTCATAGGCTTTCCTCTTCCAGGTGTTGCAACTTTCCGGTGTCTTGCGCCAGACGGGATCTGGGAGCCCCAAGGACCTGATCTCAGCAACTGTTCTTCTCCCTGGATCAACCATATCACTCAGAAGGTAAAACCCTTCCCATGTGTTGACCACACTGAGTCAACGCACTGACCTTCTTGAGTTCCCTGGTTGTTTTCACAGCAGGAAAACGAAAGTGACCAACAGTCACACATAAAGGGTGAGCCACAAATAATAGCCAGGAATTGCAAGGAGAAAGCAAAACTGTAAAAATCTGATGGAAATTAAGTCAAAGAGTGAGGGAAAGGTGAAGGAGGGGGCCTGAAAAGTGGAATTAAACTAGAGTGGATGACAGTTCTTGTTTGTAGCAAGAAAAGGAGGAAGAGGGAGGAGGATGTGGGTGAACATCTGGAAAATACCAACTTATTGCAAAAGGAAACTTTCCCTTTAACACACCCTCAAGGATTTTCTCATGCCACACAAGCACAGGATAAACCCTGTAGTTGAGAAATCTTTACCAAAGAAAGGCAGACTCAATGTGAAATGTTTGCATTGCACTTCTGACATTCTGGTTTTGACTTTGTAAAAAATTGTAAAAATTGTAAAAAACTAATGGAATAGAAAACAATGCCACAATAGCGTGTATCTTTTGACTCTTAAGTCCCTTGATGAATGTTTTGTAGCACTTCATCATTTATCAGTGTTAAAAGTGCATTAACATGTGACAATAGAAGTTCAAGACAAGCAGAGCTTATTTGGTAGCAATATGTTGAACGTTTTTGTTATTAATGCACAGTGGTGCTTTCAGCTGATTTCATTACAAACAGAGACCAGATGTGTGTTTACGCCACGGAGTCTGTGGGCTGAATCCTTATTATAGCAATTTGTGGGGATTTATTCGCTCATTTAGCCAGAGCGAGTAAGTTCCAGCATTGTGGGCTAGCTGTGCTATTGCGCGGTAGCAACACTGCGCTCCTAGAGAGACAGTGGTTGCTTGTGAATGGGATGGGATGACCCCACAGAAAAGACGCTTTGGCTTTCTTCTCTCTGTCCCCCATCTTAACGGAGACTCGACAGCCTGTGAACTGCTAGCATGTACACCCCTGATCATCCCTATCTCACTTCATCTGTATTTGTACCCATCCCTCCCCAAAGACAGGGGAAGACAACAATTATGTGGGGGTGCTGTGAAGTGGCGCAGCCATTACAAAGCCTGTGGTCCTTCTCTCCTGTGCAGGAGGGTGGGCAGCCCTCCTGCCATACGCTCAGCTACCTGATTAATAAAGACTGCCTTTGCTGGCGTTAGCAGCTGTGCAGCTCTTGTTTTATGACCCACGTACTTATCCTGGAGGGGTTAATATTACTTACTCTAGCCATAATTCACCCAGGCAGCTGGGAGACCTCTTGCTGTTTGGTGAAGACGGCTAGGCCGTTAGCCATTAGCAGAGGGAAATAATAGCCTGCACTGATGAAATCTCCATCAAGGTTAGGCTTATTTTATTTGAAAGCCCAGCTATCATTTGTGTAACAAATGAGCCCCGTTTAATTTGTTACATGCTTTCAAAGCAGGCTGAAATTGAAGAGCCAGGTTTTTAGAACTGCCCAACAGGTTACAATTGGGACTGGATTTTTTTTTGATTGTTACTATTTTTCTGGAGAATTTGGGAGAGTTCCACAAGTCGGTGGAAAGACTAAAGGGGTCTAACAAATAACTTTGGATCTAAACTTTTGATGCCTGAGTGGGAATACACTGAGATCCTGGGATATGTGGCGTAACCTCTATGGAGAGCTACTACAAAACATCAAGAACTTTCCAGGAGTGACTTGAGGGGAAAACCCTTCCAGGCTTGTCTAGGGGCTTCTGTTGGGATTTTCATTCAGTAGAATCCTTACAGCAAACACAGTTTTAAATTACTTGTGACGTGCCTGACAAATTTGGTGGCCTTCTACAATGGGGTTATAGCAACAGTGGATAAGGGAAAAGCAACCGACATCAACTACCTGGACTTGTGTAAGGCGTTCGACACTGTCCTGCATGACATCCTTGTCTCTAAACTGGAAAGACATGAATTTGATGAATGGACCACTTGGTGGATCAGGAACTGGCTAGACGACTGCACTCAAAAGAGTCGTGGTCAACAGCTCAACGTCCAAGTAGATACCAGTGATGACTGACGTTCTTCAAGAGTCAGTATTGGAACCAGTGCTATTTAACATCTTTGTCGGCGACATGGACAGTGGGATTGAATGCACATCCAGCAAGTCTGCTTATGACACCAAGCTGTGTGGTGCGATCAACACTCTGGGGATGCCATCCAGAGGAACCTTCAGAGACTGGAGAGGTGGGCCCATGCAAACCTCATGAAGATCAACAAGGCCAAGTGCAAGGTCCTGCATCTGGGTCAGGGCAATCCCAAGCACAGATACAGGCTGGGTGATGAGTGGATCGAGAGCAGCCCTGTGGAAAAGGACTTGGGGGTGCTGGCGGGTGAAAAACTGAATATGAGGCAGCAATGTGTGCTCGCAGCCCAGAAAGCAAAATGCATCTTGGGCTGCAATAAAAGCAGCGTGGCCAGCAGGTCAAGGGAGGTGATTCTCCCCATCTACTCTGCTCTGGTGAGACCCCATCTGGAGTGCTGCGTCCAGCTCTGGGGCTCTCAGCATAAGAAAGGCACGGACCTACTCGAGCAAGTCCAGAGGAGGGCCATGAAGATGATCAGGGAGCTGGAGCACCTCCCCTATGAGGACAGGCTGAGAGAGTTGGGGTTGTTCAGCCTGGAGAAGAGAAGTCTCTGGGGAGACCTTATAGCAGCCTTCCAGTACTTAAAGGGGGCCTACAAGAAAGGTGAGGAGGGACCCTTTATCAGGGAGTGTAGTGGTAAGATGAGGGGTAACAGTTTCAAACTGGAAGAAGGTATATTTAGATTAGATATTAGGAAGAAGTTCACCCTGCAGCTCAGCTCTCCTGCCTCCCCAGCACTTGGATCCTCCTTCACCACCCATGCCACAGCAGCTGCAGCTGTAGCGCAGCTTACAAAATGGATAGAAGCGCTTCTTTGGCAGCCAAGGTTCATACCTGCTCAGCGTGTTTTCATTCCTAATCTGCTTTGTCTCCCAAAAATCCCATCTTCTATCACCTGCTGGGTCCAAGCTGCTCAGGAAGAAGGGTGATGGATCCCCTGTAGGGATTTCAGCCAAGCCAGAGGGGATAGTAGGGAAATGCTGTGCTTGTTTTCATGTCTCTGTAGTAAAGTAAGGATTACTACTTGCTTCTTTTCTTTCTCCTGCTGTGCTTAGACCATACATTGGGTGTTTGCCTGCTTGCATCATGGTATTCGGTTTTACATCCCTCTATTAGCTTCCATTAGAGTTATCGTGCTTGATGGAAGATCAGAACAAATGTCCGCTTCAGCAATTCGTTGCCCTCCTGACATTTACTTTAACTTTATTGTTGGTGCCTACCATGCCCTCGTAACGTAGCAGGAGAATAAACTTGCCAGCACAATTGAGTTATGCACCGCTACCTGGGTTATTTCTAGAGTCAAGCAGTAAAAGGAAGCAAAAAGTTCAGCTTTGGGTACATTGCATTGTCCTGATCATGAGGTCATTCAGTTGCAGCCTGTTTGTTTTACCTCTTGCTTTTATCGGTACTGTCCTTGGCACAGTGTGTGACTTGCCTGAAAATATCTTTTCCTCGATGCAGCTTTCAGTTGTGGGTGCTTCCTGGGAGGAGGGGCACCACTATGCTCAGCTTCAATCCTCTGAAAGAGAGGAGGCCTTTTTGTAGCAGTGTAGAAAACGTTGTGTCTTTCATGAATACATGAGAAGCCTCAAACTGTAAATCTAAAGCACATGCCACCTGTGTTCATATTGTCCTCCTGAACAGCCTAGATGATATAGTCACAAAGAGCAGATAAACCTTAGGGTTCAAAGTACCTTTGTCAGGTCTTATAGATCTGTTCGGGTGTGTCTGGCAGAGGGAGTGGGGTTTTATGGAGGATGTCACCACATTGTTGTGTCCAGGCCCGAGGGTGAAGTTGCGATCCTGATGACACCACGATGAAATCCTCCATCCAGATTGCTTTAGACAGTCTGTTTTCAGAGCGCCATCATGTACTGGATAGAGCAGATGTTACAGTTGGCAGATTATTAGAGGGACATTAAATGCAGTGTAAGTTGTTTGCATACCATAGTTTCAAAACCACTTTTTTAGTATATTCCAGCTCTGCTGTACTGTATGGAGACCAGCAATCCAACTCTCTGTTGGATAACCAGTGTTCATAACTAGTTAGTTATATCCTTAGGTGTGGCAGGCCAATAAAAGAAAAAAACGAAGTTGAATGGAATGGGATGTTCGTCTTCCAAAAAAAAAAAGAGGACAGTAGATATACTCTGACTCTTTTCTGCAAATGTGTACATGTATAATGAAACCTCTGCCAGGGAAAGAAAATGGCCATGAAGGCTTTGCAGTATCAGAAGTTAGCCCACAGCCCATGTTTCAGCCTTGGTACCTCACTGCTGGCAGCTGATGGTGCCCGATGAAACCTGTCAGATGTTTGTCCCTCCAGAAAGTAGCATCAGCTCCATGGCCTTTCCAGCTGTGTGTCACTGTTTTTAAAAATCCAGGTTCAATCTTTCATACCATCTTTTTTTTTTTTATGTGAGTCAGCATCAGGCTGCAGGAAAATATTTTTGCCTTTATGACCGCTGGTGTTTCAGCACATTCGCTCACTTCCCACCATCCTTCTTATTTCTTCTGAATTTTCTTTCCTAAACACTTCTTTTCTGCAATTTCTCTCATTTTTATTCTACGGTCCTCTTCTGCAGTTGGTTCCCCCTGGGAAAGGTAGGGCTGAAATAGCAAGCAATGCTGCAGGAGAGTCATTGTTAGTCTTCCATGACAAAGCTCCCTGCTTCTGTTCCTTGGCATATAAGAAATAGGCAGGAATATATGCCCTCTCCAACATCTATTATTTCACAGTCTTTTTGGTCATAAGAAGACACAAGATAGTGGTACAAACTTGGAAAATGTTAGTGAAGTGTTGAACAATGTGATTTCAGGTATGCCAATGCTTGTTTGTAAATCTGGCCTGAATCCTGCCAGTGTGCTCAAATGGAAGAGGGGAGCAATTTCTTTTGACAGAACTAGAAAATTATGGTTTTTGTGTTGGTATTTTTGGCAGGAAACATATTTTCTCTGTCAAATTAACATGCCAAGACTAGATTTTAAAAATTTGTAAAAGGCAAAAAAAAATCATCCAAACCAACCAGAAACTCAATTTGGTTTGAACAGAATGTTTTCTTCTATCCCAGAATCCGTTTTGGTTTTTAAATTTAATTTTTTCATAATCAAAATAGAGAATTTGGAAAAGAAAAATAGTCTCAAATCAGAGAGATGTATTATTTTTAATTCCCTTTACTGCTCTTGAGCCTCCCAGTAAAAAACTCAGTTACTTGCACATTTTTTCCCTACTTCTTGCTTGCCTGTAAGTAATAGCCTAACCCTTGAAGAACCTCCAAGGATTGTTCCTGTGTTCCTATGTGACTATGTCAGTGTTTAGCTTAAAGAGTGTTATGTGTTTTGGAAGAAATATCCCATGAAGAGCCCATCTTCCATGTGCCAGTAATGAAGAGGAAGATGTGGAGAGGTGCTTTATAGAAGGGAAGTAAGTCAGTAATGTATTCTCTTGGGCAGCAGTGAACTTTGCTGAGCATTACATAGAATTACAAAGAGGGGCTCAGTCCTGTTGTTATAAGAGACCAGACACATATCTTAGGCCTGGAATATGCAGCCAGCATTTGGGACTGGTAACAGAGGTTGGGTTTGACGGGACTTCATAGAAGACACTTCAATTTCAGTCAAAAATCCTCAAAAGAATTGGGGAAATTAACATGTCAAATGAACATCATTTTGGATACCCCTTGTACATTTTGCACCACACAGGCAGGATGGACATGTCACAGCACTGTTGTAGTGACTTGGAACTGCATTTTCTGGGTGACAATGAATAGGTTTGGAAATGAGCGTCAGTGCTGGGAAGTAGCTTCATCACCAGTCAAGCAGACACATTGTCCCAAAGGAATGGCCCACCTCTGTGTTTTCAGGAAACCTGGGTGTGTGAAATGAGTTTGGGTAAATACTTCGATGTCCCAGGAGTTCACAGATTTTGAGCTTTAATGTGCCTTTTCTCGGGCGTTTCTTCCCTTATTTCCTATTTTGGGGTGTTTGGTCATGCTAGAATTCCTCAGATTTACAGTTTTTGGGATTACTCCAAGATAAAAGTAAAAGGGTTTATTAGTGACTAGCCCGCACCACTGTTGCAAACAGGTAGGAACAACGGCAGCCTGCATTTGAATGCAACAAGACACTTACTGCAGGGAAAGAAAATCCTTGGGTTTGCTTTTGCAGCAGCTGAGCAATTTGCTCTGAGTGTGCCAGTTTGTCTATGTGCGTGGTCCAAGAGAAAATGAATGCATCAAGTACTGGGTAGCAGGTTTGTTTCTAACGTATCTGTAAAATAACTTTTTTCCTGCAGTTTTCTGCAAGGCTTACAGAAACACTATATGTCATGATACATGTGAAGATGCAGTGGTGAACTGCAGGAAAATGTTGAAATTTATTTCTTTATGTAAAGGTATTTGATGCAGTCATTCTTTAAATTTCTGGGTGCCAACAAAAGAGGTGAAAAATTCAGCCTCTCTGGTGGTGCCTGGCTTTCTTCAGCTGCTTGGGAGAGCACACAGCTGTAAGAATAGGATCTGGTTTCTATGGCATTAGCCTTGTGTGTAACAACAAAGAAATAATTCCATTTTTTAATATATGTTATCATTACTCTAATGGGAAGAACAACACATTATCTCCTTTATTTATCTATATCACCATATGCTTTAATTCTCTGAAGATGATCGTATGAACATCTTCAGTTAGATTTCATTAAATCAGATGGGCTGTTGCTGTCAAATTGATGGAAGTAAGTTATTCATTTGTAACTCAGCTAATTGAT